CAGCAGCTTCTGGATCCTCAAAGTTGACAAAACCAAAACACCTTGATTTGCCTTCCCCATCCCTCATCACTACAACACTGGTAATTTGTCCATGTTCGCCAAAAATGTTCCTCAACTCATCCTCTGTTGTAGATTCAGATACATTCTTGACGTAGACATTGTTAAATTTTGTCTTATTCCAATTTCCGTCTCTCTCCTGCTTGCGGAGAAATTGTCCTACAAATACTGGCTTATCATTAAGCAGCATCCCATTTAACTTATCTATTGCACTCTGAGCAGCTTCCTCACTATCAAATTGCACAAAACCATAGCCCTTTGACTGGCCAGTGGCATCAGTGGCTATCTTGCAAGAAAGAATATTTCCAAACGAAGAAAATGTCTCATGCAATGCTTTGTGGTCAATTGCCTTGTCCAGATTCTGCATTCACCCAAAAGAATTAGCATAAGGCCGAAACCCATAAAGCAACACCATACTTCATGGAAAGGAGAGGAATCTCAGTGAAGTACATCAAGAAAATAGCTACCTTGATAAATATGTTTCCGGTTCCACTCTTTCTAATACTAGGGTCCCGGTGCGAATACATAATCCTGATTGATTTGTTATTCAGTGGAGTGAAGTTCAGAACTTCCAGTGCCCTCGCAGCTGCATGGTTAAAAACGATAAAATCAAATTGCAGCACATGTTGCGTAAAGTTCTGTTCGCGAAAAATTCAATACGCAAATAAACCCAATGTCACCATCAAAAATAGACAACTTCCAAAGTATTAACCCATCCTAAATGTGCGTCTAGTCAACCTGATTTGGCAAATTAGCATAAAACCTGGACATCGAAATCTCGTATTCAATGTAAATTCTCAAATCGCAAACTCAATAATCCATTTCGACTAATCCCCAATAGTAATCCAATCAAAATTTTTAATTTCCTCAAACATTCATATTAAAAACGCAAACTTTAAATACAACATGCTCCCAACAATTACCAAAAAATTAAATAATTTTAAGAACAATAAAAGTGAAATTAATCAGAAGACTGACCATCCTGAGGACCGCTATAGTTGACGTAACCATAGCCGAGAGATCGGCGAGTGCTCAAGTCCCTGCAGACCCTAACCGACACGACCTGACCGACCTGGTTGAACAGATCGTACAGCTGCGAGTCGGTAACATTCTGGTCAAGATCCCCAACGTACAGCGACGTCGAAACGAACTGCTGGGGGGCACCGCCGGCGTTCGCCGCCACGCTGTTCGGGCCGCTCACAGGAGGCTGCTGGTGGTGCTGAACTTGAATCTGAGCCATGTCACACCAAAATCACAAAACCCTCACTTCAAAATTTCCTTTTTTTTTTGCAAACTCAAAGGACCGAAATTAAAATTTTGCAAAAACCTAAGGACCGGAAATGAAACTGCGACCGAATTTTTGGTTTTTCTGAGATTTTTTGGGGATAAATCGTCCGGAATCCGAACCGGCACGACGGACGGAAAATGAAATAAATTTTTTTTTTTTGGGTTTTTGATGTGGAGGAGGGCAGAGTAAAAAACTGCACCGCACCGGCTGGGGAGTCAACTGCTTCACTTATATAGGGTGCGTCGGTGAGGGCGTGGCCTTTCGAAAACCCTAGTTTGCCTTTGGAGACTAAATACGGGCCGTCGGATCGGATTTTCGTGTCTTGATTAACGGCTACAACGGTCAGCGGACTTTGTACAGTGACTCAGTGTCGGGGCATGTGACGCACCAGGCCCACGAAGTTTCTTATGTCATGACTGGTTTGGGTATGAAGTGCTTGTTCTTCTAGGCCCATAATATATGAGATAGAAGCCCAAATATTACAAACTTACAAACCTGTGTTGGAGTTCGGCTTGATAGACCTCTTTTGGTTGGTGTATGAATTGGGTCCTAACCCTACGCATTCTTCATGAAGACTGGGTTGGACTCGAACAAATAACGAGAGGTAATAAGAATATGTAGTTTTCGCATGGAATTCAAACTCAAGACTTTAAAACTTAATCCAGCGCATGAGAATTAGATTAAGGATACCAAACATGCGCAAAAATGTATTAATTTATTAACCAACCTTATGAATCGTCAAACATCGAATGCTGAAATTATTATTCGAACTAGGAGAGGAATTATCATATTTAAACTAGGAGCATTCAAAAATTCAGTAGGGTTGTCGCACTAGGACAATTGATACAAAGGATAGGGATCATAGAAAGTGAGAAAGAATAGAGGGAAATGGTTTTTTTTTGTGTGGGCAATGGTCAATTGAGTGCAATTGAAATACGTATGTTATTAAAATTGTTCCATTCAGTTTTGTCGAAGAATGTAAAGTTTAACTTCAAAATCGAATATAACAGAATACAACTTATATTGAGTGGTTTAATAATTATTTGTATTGAATTCTTTTGTGATAAAATCTTACCGACCTCATATGATTTTGCAACGAGCTTAAGTGATGGATTGTTCCGACATTTCTCATCTACGCCCTACATTTCGAGTTCAAATCCTCTCCTCTTCTCTTAGAATAATTTAGGTACAAATATCCCCTCGTATAAAAATATAATAGACGGTTGGAACGGCTCATTGAATCATTTATGAGTTGTAAAATGCGACACTTGGTACGTGTATATCAGACACATGCATGAAGATGAATCATGCAACCAGCACGATAAATTCATCAATAATCGGTGCATGACAAGTCAAATTATGCGGTCGTGATGGGACTGAATCACCGCAGTAATACTACATAACCTCATTCATATTTCCAATCAGAAGTTTCTTTGAATATAAATAATATTTTGCCCAGATTTTTTTTTTTTTGGGTAAATATTTTGCCCAGATGGACACAGTTTTTGGGATATTCTCTCTTTTGATGCGCAAACAAAAGTTGATTGGCATAGTCAACTATGAGATACTGATATGATTGCCATATATATGCGTGGCCCATCAAAATCTATTATCTCATCTGCGTGGTTGCATGAAACAAATTCATGCAATAATGTTACAGTATTGTGTTGGAGATAAGCTACTTAATTAGCACTAATACACACACACACACACATATCACATATATATTCAAAAGCCGTTGCATGCATGCGTGCATAAGACAAACTCTTTGTTTGGTTATATATGGTGATCATAAAGATCCATTTAATAACAAAGTTGTTATAATTCAACATTTTTTTTCTTATTTAATTTGCAAATTACCATTTTGAAAGTTCTATTCACCATATTTTTACACTTTTGCTCTTTTCTTGTCACATATTTATGTATTATAGAGTATCATTCTTACCATTACGAATAACATCGATTTCAAATTCTTAAGAAATTCTTAAGAAATTCTAAGTATCTGTCTATTTTAAGAGTTTGTCAAATATGAACCGGAGTGTAGTATGCATCGAGATACTGGTCGGATCCTTAGCCATTGGATATTTGGTTGCAAACTCAGTTGTTCATCATTCACTTGATCCATACTATTAGATGGTCCATTCCAAAATTCTTGCTATTTCAAATCGCATATGATATGTCATTCTTCCCTTTTATTGTAGCTAATCGCTTGCCTACAGTTATGAAAATCCCACTCCTACCTAGTTCCACTAGCTGCTAGGGGTGGGCACTTGGAATCGAAAACCGAAACCGAAACACGAATCGAAGGATTTGGTTTTGCAATTTTGAAATGGTTGCAGTTTCGAAACCGAACTGCGGCAAAGAAAACGGTTTAGTTTCGGTTTTGGGTTTTCAAAATCGCACCGAAACTGAAAACGAAACCGCATCATATATTGAATGTTATGTTTTAATTAGTTCAACTACAGTAGTCATCCAATTTTGCACCACTATTCGAGTCCATACATGATACATTAGTTTGTCTCTCTTTTTCCCAAAACTCATCTGCATCTCTCTCTCAAAAGTCATCTTCATCTCTTCCACAGTCGACATCAGTGCCCTCGGTGCTTGCATCTCTGCGAACTGGCTGCTTACATCTCTGCGACTTTACTGCTTGCATCCCCAGATCCCCTTCATCTGCAAGCCCTGAACTCTGCAAATCAAAAGCTATGCAAAACAGACTTGGCAAATCATTCACCTGCTCTTCGTTCCAGCTAATATGATAAGAACTTAGAACTTGTATTAGTTAGTTTAGTTAATAATTTGTAATTAAATTAATTTTAGAGTTAGGGTTCGTTTGAACCAAAGATTCAAAAGGGGAATTGGGTTAGGGTTTATAATTAATTTTAGGGATAGGGTTTGTGAATCAAAAGGGAAGTTCTAAATTATTAATTTCTTTAGGAACCACCCTCCACTGTTTTCACCTGCTTCTCTTTGGATTTTGTTTTCTTTATTTACTCACATCCTCACACTTGTTCGTATTTTACTATATTGCCTTGATTTGTTTGAAACTTTGAAGTTTGAACTTTAGTTGTAGTAAAGTACTGTGATTGGTGATCAAGTTGAATTTTAGTAGATGTGATACGTAAGGATTTAAACTCATTGATGCACTGGATGTTGTCTCAATTTTAGTAGTTGTCATTTGTTGCAGTTTTGGTACAGGTTTGTTGTTGTTGTTCTGCAACTTTGCTGCAGTTTTTCTGTAGTTTTTCTGCATTTTTATGCTTTTTTTTGCTGCATTTTTCATGCAGTTTTGCTGTTTTTTTTTTGCAGTTTTGCCGCTACTTTTTGCTGCATTATTGTTGCTGTTTTTGCTGCATGTTCATTAATTAATATATGAGGAAAATAAGACCGTCTTATGTGTAAATATGTGTATATTTTAAGTTGTATATTTTTTTCTCAAAAACCGAACCAAAACCTTTTGAAATTGCACCGAACCGCACCACAAAAAGTTTCAATTTCCGTTGCTGTTTCACTCAAAACGGCACCTAACCACACCGCGCCAACCCCTACTAGCTGCAGTGTCTTTAAAAAGAAAAGAAATACGGAAGGCAATGATGAAAAACTAATAATAATGCACGTCTCTTAATAATCAATGATAATGATATGGCAACTTTTATGAAAGTCATATAAGTGGTGGATCGCATTAATATACTTTTTTGACATTGGCGCTAGAAGGCATTTCTCTTTCCCAATTTGAATTGCAAAGATCCAGATGAAAGGAGACGTTACGACTTACTACTAGGGAAGAAGGAGAAGTAGGTACGTGGACTTCAGTGTCCAATCTTAAGCAGGATTCCCGCTTTTAACCTAAAAAAGCTTCGATTCAACGTTTTAGGTTGCTCTAGTCAAAATAGTGACATCCAGCACCACCATCACAGATAGAGATAGCTTGGAATAAAAGTGCTTTTGGTTCAAAAGGTAGAAGTTGAAGCATGGCATTCAGTACAAATTAAGAGACAATTGCTTGCCTTTCTTCTTTCCCGAAATAAGAAAAGAAGGAAAGCAAATGCCAGTGTCAAATTAAGCAGATCTCATCATCTTCTTCCTTCTGGATGTAATGGAAAGAGCTCCAGAGTTCTACCTCCCTCAACGGCGTCGTCGTTGTCGAGCTTACATACTACACTACTTGTACTACTACTATGATCACCTTCTACCAAGCAATCAAATTCCCAGCTCCTACACTTTCTCTTGTACGGATTATCTTCCTCTCTTTCCACCACTACTTCTCCCAGCTGCAAAAACAAAACATATAAAATACGTAAGTTGGATGAATATTCAAAGTAAAAATATATAGTACAAACAATAACCACCCCTTTTTTGTTACAAAGGAAGGTTTTAGACCTTGTATATATCTCTAGCCTACTCCTACCCATCCCCCTTTCCACACTTATTACCGAGCTAACCCCAGAGGCTGAACTAATAAAATTCATTTTATGACTAAATAGGGGTTACTTACGGTGGTAATTACAGGAGTCGGTGTTCTTGGAGAGTGGCTGAGGCCAAGGCTGCTGCGTTTTTGCTTCTGCCTCTCGCGTGCCTTGTGATTCTGGAACCAGTAAAACACATTCTTGCCTTCGATCTTGCCGTACTTGCCAAGTTGAGCCGTGATTTTCTCTATTTGTTGTGCATTAGGAGTGCGCATTCCTTCTCTATACAACATTTCTAGTATCCCTATCTGTTCTTGCGTAGGGTTCCAGCGTGTCCCTCCTGGGTGCGTCTCTACCTGCACCATCACAATTTTTCAGCACACTCATTTTATTCTCCTTACCTTAAGGTCGTATATTAAGTATGCAGATGTTCTATTGTCAGACTGCTTATATTGCCTTATGAATCTTGATGGTTTATTAAACTGAATATGAACAAAATTTACGGTCTAAATTCACAGTCTAAGCACCTGTTTGTCAAACTAGTTATGTTCAGGTAACGTAGGTGTTGAGGGCATGCAAGCAATGTATGATTGCATGATAAATTTAGAATTAATGATATTTTTAGTACCTGAGGGTGAGGGGAATCTTTCTTCTCCTGAAGCTGGTTAGAAGATCCAAGTTTTCTGGGGCCACTGTCAGGTCTGATGAAACTCTTGAGATCGAAAGGAGCGAGGGTGGTAGTAGTGTCGGAGGCGGCGGCCGTGTTGGCCAGTCTGGGAGCAAGAGGGCGTAAGCGTTTGGTGCAGCCAAGCGTGAGGGAGGGTTCGTGTTCCCAGAGTCCACGTGCGAACTGATGCACCTTCATGCTGCTCATTCCCATATGTGGTGAGTGGAGTACTGAATGACAGAGCCTTGGAGCCAGATAGCATGTAATTATATAGGAGGGCCGAAAACGAGTATCATGATCAGTGTTATTAAAGTGACAAAGTGGGAAATGAGGTGGTGTTTGGAACAACCAAGACCAAATGATGAGGTGCGGTTGACTTGAGATTTTCCACACTAAAAATATGAAAAGATAAAGCAAGAAAAAAGAGAATGTTGTGTGTGTGAGAGAGAGAAAGAGAGAGAGATGTATGCAGGAGACTTGTTAGTATGTGATGGTAAATATGGAGAAATTTAATTTTCATAGTAATAAATTATTTGTTTCGTGCTGAAACACGATTAGGTAATATAATTAATTTGCTAATCGTAATATAAGCGAATACTAAAATATAAACCTATTATCACCATATTCTAACATGCACAATATAGTTAAAAAAAAAAAAACTGTTGTGTTCTAGTAGTGCACAATAGTTTTTCATTATTTTAATAGTGCATAATAATTTTCTTTTGTAATTACGAGTTTATAGGTTTGTTGTTATGTTACTGTTAGTATCACACAATAATTTTCTGCAGTAACAAACGTGTGGGTGTGTGAGTGTGTATGTGCGTTCGGGTTGGCCCGTCAGATCTGGTCATTTTTTTCTTGCTTTCATGATAAGGTGTCCATGCTTTTCGGTGTCCTTCTTTGGCTTTGGCTCTCTCTCCAGCTTTTCCGCAAAAAAGCTAGCCAGGAGGACAGATCTAATCAGAGGGAGGGAGAATAATAGGATTCCTCCAATCCCAAAACTTGAATATGGGAACTACTCTTTGCCCCTTGCCCTTTTTCTTTTTCAAGATACGAATCAAATAAATATATACTTGTGATTTGTGAATGCCGTCGTAGTCTTTAGTTTCACTCTTTTAGTCGTATACAACGTTGTAAAAACTCACACAATTCGACCTACCAAATCTATCTGAATGCATGCCAAGCCAAATAGGTGTGCCATGACATTTCCCTAAATATTGTATCCTTTTTGGCTCCTTCTTTTGGGGATTGTTCGTAGTTCCAATTTCCCAAATAGTATTATATAAAACCTCACAAGTCCCACTTTCTGCCCAAATTTAATTTAACATTTGTTTGCCAATATCTTGACAGCAGCACCAAAGCCATTGAGAAACATTATATACAGTGTCATCTCTAAACTTTTGAGAGTACAGTGCTATGGCACCACCTGTATTTCTCAGAGCCGTCCTAATTACGTACATTTCTTAGATGTATATATGTATATAAGTACGTATGTTACACGTGTTGCATGAATGGGTGAAATAAAATTCCCAGCCCAGCATAGAATGATGAGTTTTTGGGTAATCTATATAATAACTGCGAGCAATCACGGACAGTTAATTTTTGGAGAGTAATTGAGCATAACACGTGTGATGGGTTTTGCAGATATATACTTGATTCAGCTAGGAACAAACATTGCAGTCAATATGAATCATCACAATCACCTGCGTGTGCTTTTGATATGAAGTTCATTTCATGTTGCATGAGGGCCCAAAAAGTATGGAGTTGTTGTTCTAGCAGTTTCATGCATGAATGGATGCTCTTCAGACATAATTTGCAGTACTTTATCATGTAAATTTAGAACAGCACGCGTGGAAGTAATTTTTTTTTGCCAGAAAGATTAATATGTATCTCACTGGAAAAGCATAGCAACTGCAGGCAGGGGATTTTATATTTAACCAACTCTCTTCTCAAACCCTTAAAAAATACTATTTTTAAGTAGATGATTATTGAAGTGAGTAAGAAGCCCCAGGCATATCTGAATTCCATATGAATTACAGACCAAGATATTGTTGCCAAGGAATTAAGCCCCAGGTATATCAACACTCCAAATGTGAATGCGGCTATATATATAATTGAAATTAAAGCCAGGCATGACTAATATACAAATAAATAAGGGTTCATATGTCAAGATTTGTCTGCCTGATGCGACTCACTTTCCTTCTCTTCCGTCAATTTATTTATCACTGATTTAAATGATCTGAAAGTGTGAATCCCACTTTGAAAAATTAAGGGCCTTATGAACAGTGTACTATTTCTTATATTATTAATTGGTTTTATAGTATAGGATAGTGCTAGTGAGTGTGAGACATCAATTTTCAAAAGCTCCAATATTATCAGTGTAGATTTAAAGCGAACATAAAATGCATTAAAATTAGTGAAAATGATCCATATAGAAAATGTTCCAAAGACTGAAAAGTTAGGATTAGAGAAGTAATAACTATTATTAGTAATTCATATGAACACGTTGTGAACGTGTTTTCCATGCCAACATATAATTTTCTACAACTTTCGCAGCCACATAATCTTCTATAAATTAACCCAGAATATAATATCACAAAGATGTTCATGTTGATGGATGGAAATGGTGAACATATATGCGACAATAGCAAAAATAAGATCTAATTATATTTTACACCTTTTAGGTTTAGGGTGATTTACAAATTAAGCTATGAGATTTAAAATTTTCACATTACTCAGAGGTTATAAAATTGTATAAATTTATGTCTTGGTCTAAAGAATTAATTGAATCTTCATTAAATTGATAACAAAATAAGCATGAAATCCGTAATTGGGTGGACACGTAAGCCACATTGTACTAACTTGACTAAAAAAACTCATCAATCAAATAAAGAATTAGTCGCTCAAATAGACATAAATTTGAATTGATACAATTACAAAACCTTATAGTGCAATTTGAGAAAACTGAACCCTCATCATAACCCATTTTATGGGTTTTTATCACAAATAGTTGTTGAAATTGACCTACCCATCAAGATGGTCATTGAAATTGAAGTTCAATCGATGTAGTCCTTAAAAATAGGTATCGCAAATCAATATGGTCATTCTGTTACTATTCTGTTAAAAAATTTGTTGTGTGTTGATATGACACATAACTGGATTCCATAAGTCCAATTAAATATTGCCATATAGATTAAAATATTTAAATAAAAAACAAATTTTATTTTCATATAATTAAAAACTTGAAAAAAAAAAAAACAAGGACCATAGCACGACACCACAGCTGCCATTCCCGCGATAGAGGCAAAGCTCCAATTTATCGAACCCAGATGAGGAAGCCATAGTAGATAGCTTGGAACGCCGTAACCCAAATTCAATTCCTACTCGGATGGTGAATTCGCCGAGTTTTCAGACCTGGATAATGAAGGAAAGTGGTGAAACCAGGCCGAAAATCCTGACGAGCTTTTCGGATTGTTCAAGCGGAATCGAATTTGAATTTATTCCGATTTTTGTTTTTGTTCTCGGATTCAATCTCAATGGAGGTGTTGATGGAGCTCTGCGGCCTGATTGCGTAGCACCCGACGCAATTCACCGAGAAGCCATTACCACGTCTGCATATTGCTTAGCGGAAGAAGATGAAAGATCATTTTTTTTCTTCAAGTTTTTAATTATATGGAAATGATATTTGTTTTTTATTTAAATATTTTAATCCATATGGTAATATTTAATTGGACTTACGGGAACTAGTTTTGTACCATATCAATATATAACAAATTTTTTAACGAAATAATCACATTGATTTGCGATATTCATTTTCAGAACTACATTGATTGATTTTCAATTTTAAATATCATCTTAATAGGATGGGTCAATTTCAGATACCATTTATGATATAAAAAAAAAGGTAAATATCAGTTTATTACTCTTAAGTTTCGTGGTTTTCAACATTTAGTACATAAAGTTTTTTTCGTCTTAGAGTCATACCTAAAGTGTTAATTTTGGGACAATCTCATACATCTTAGTCAAACTGTTAATTTTGCCGTTAACTGATGACATGGCGCTTATGTGGATACTAACTGGACGCACGTGTCATTAAGGGTCACGTGGAAATTAAAAATTCAAAAAAAAATATTTACATAAAAGTTATAAAAAAATTATATATATAAAAAAATAAAAAGCAAAACACATATCGTCTTCCCCAAATCCCCCCGTGCCCAGCCTCCCACCCCCATCACCCACAACCACTTTCCTCCCCATTGCGCCTCCATCCCACCTTATCCCATCCCCCATCATCCCTCCTAAAAATCCCATCGTCGCCACCCGAGCCCACCTCCTTCTCCCATCCCAAAACTCTAGTTGTCGCCCTCATCCTCCAACTCCACCACCCCATGTGGTACACTTCTCTCTAGATCCCCCCTCAACTCCTCTATCGCCGCCTTTGACCTCATGAACTCCCACATCAGAACCCCCAACCTCTCTTCTGATATGCTTGATCTTCATCGCCTGCAACCTTTTACTGCAGCCTTACATTCGATACCATGAACGATTCGATGGAGACCCTTTCGTCGAATTTGAGTGACAACAGCTGGATTCTCGTCTCCATTAGCCCCCTGTTTTGTTAAGTTGGGAGGAAAGTGGGGGATGGGAGAAGGTGGGATGGAGGCGCAGTGGGGAGGGAAGTGGTTGCGGGTGATGGGGGTGAAAGGGTAGGCACGGGGAGATTTGGGGAAGACAATATGGGTTTTGTTTTGTTTTGTTTTTTTTTAACTTTTCTTTAAATAATTATTTTTTGAATTTTTAATTTCCATGTGGACCCTTTAATGACACGTGGCGTCCAGTCATTGTCCACATAAGCGCCACGTCATCAGTTAACGGCATAGTTAACAGTTTGACGTATGAGATTGTCCCAAAATTAACACTTTAGGTATGACTCTGGAATGAAAAAAACTTCATATACCAAATATTAAAAGTCACGAAACTTGAGGTAGTAAACTGATATTTACCCTTAAAAAAAAAAAACCCTTTATGAAAATGAAAGTGACTTACCCTGGGAAATTTCATATACGTGCATGGTGAAAAATGAAAAATCCAATCTGAATCTTAAAAAACTCAAAAAGTAGAAGATCGTTTTAGAAAGGCGACTCCAATTTAATTATTGTATTGAACAGATGTCATTCTCTTTGACGTATATGTGTGCGATAATTAATACACCGTTGTAGAAAATGTTTAAGATTATGAGCTTGACTCCACGTAGTC